GGCTGGGCGTGGGGTCCAGCAGCCTCAGCTTGTACTCAACATGCCCCATCTCCTGCTCCCCAGGCAGGATGCCTGGCCCCGAGAAGCAGGCCGCGTTGCGGCGCTGCGGCAGGGCGGGGATGGGGCGGGGATGAGGGGGAGAGCGTGCGGGGCGGCGGCGAGAGGCAGGCGGCTGGGCCCCAGCCCGGCGCTGCCAGCCTCCCCGCCACACCGGCCTGCGGCGAGGCGAGGCGCCGGCAGACCCGCTTGGCTGCTGCCATCAGCTGGTGGGCTAGGGTCGGCAGCACAAGGTCGGGGCCTGGGCCTGCACCCACCTGCAGCGCGTAGGCGCGTAGGTGCGGCGGCAGCTCCCGCGGCGCCATGCCCAGCTGCGCCTCCAGCGCCTGCGCCTCTGCGCTGTCCAGCTCAGCCAGGTCGACCGCCGCCTGCCGCCGCTTGTCGCGGCTGCGCACCTTGACGCTGGCCCTGCGAGAGAGGAGGGGCGGGCTGTCGGCGAGTGTCGGCACAGGCTTTTGAGGTGCGTGCGCTGGTGGCGCCCGGGCTGCCGCCGCTGGCAGCTGGGGCTGGGATTTGCGGTGCCAGGGCCGCATGGGGATCGCGTGGAACGCGCCCCTGATCGCCCTGGGAGCGTGGGGGGCAGAGCAGCAGCAGGCGCCAAGTCCCGCAACAACACGGCACTCGAATAAGCGGCACAGTGCACTCGGTTTTGAGCGCACTTTTTGGGCTTCTGCTTCGGGGGGCTGTTGCAGGTGAACTCATACCGAGCGGGCGGAGGCCGGCTCCCAAAGTCCGCCTCACCAAAGTCAAACATGGCTGCCTAATCGTGGGATCATTGCTATGCGGAAATGCGGCTTGAGGAGGCGCCAGCCGGGTGGGCTTATCTGTAGGTGCCGCTGACGGGGCGCCACACGTGTCGCCCGCCGGCGCCGCCGCCCGCCGTGCGACTCCCCTGCTTTGGTGCCCCAGTTTACAACTGGCCAGGGCAATACAGCACAACGGCACCTGGCCCCTCAGCTCTTCTTGTCTGCCCCCAGCTCCTTCATGACCTCCTCCTTGAGCGTCTTCTTGCTGCGCTCGGAGGCGCGGTCAACATACGAGGTGAGGTAGTTGGCCTCCAGCAGGCGCGAGCGCTACGGCGGGGGCAGGGGCGAGAAACCAATGTGCGGGTGTGGATGAAACGTGAGGCTGGCAGGTGGTACGTGCATGGAGGGTGAGGGGCGGCGGCTGCCGGCGGCACTGCACTGCACTGCACTGCAATGCCATGCCCAGCCCTCTCACCTCCAGTGCCTTTGCGAACTTCATGTTGAACAGCAGGGCGCCCTGGATTTTGTCGAAGATGAAGAGGAAGGAGAGGAGGAAGAGGAAGGCAAACAGAAAGTAACCCATGAACCAGTCCAGCATGCTGCAGGGGGTGGGGTGGGGTGGCAGGGGGGCCAGGTGGCGGCAGGGCAGGGGGAGGCGGGCAGGCAGCGGCGTGGCACGGCACATGAGCCGGCGGAGCGGCAAGCAACCGGTGATGCCATAGACATGCGGCTCTCCACTGGCAGCCCCGCCCCCCGCCATCGCCAGCTCTCGCAGCAACGCCTGCTGCAGTCATTCCAGGCCTGGATGCACGCCACCCCACCCCACCCTACCACCACCACCCGCCCACCGGTAGGCGCTGTCCACGACGCGGCGGGCAGAGAGGGAGCCGCGGAAGGCGTAGACGAGAACTTGCACCAGGAAGGCAGCCCCCGAGAAGTTGGCCAGCAGGATGAGGATCAGATTCTTGATGCCCACCCCCACAGACAGCGCGTCGGGGATGAAGATGATCACGCACACCTGCGCGGCAGCAGCACGGCGGGCAGGGAGGTGGCGGGGTCGGATGGGGGGTGCTGGGCATACAATTCGGTGTGAGGCACAGAGCCGGGAAAGGGGATGCGCCGAATACCACCCCCAATGCTCTGTCTGCTCCTTGCCGGTGGGAAAGCAAACAACATACTCCCCCTACCATCCCACCCCACCGCCCTGCTCACCAGGAAGGCAATGACCCCCAGCACCACAAACGTGCGCACGAGGCGCCAGATCGGAACATGTAGCGCTTGAGCAGCATGTGGCGGATAAACCACACCACGACCATGCAGCCCCAGAAGCCGCCCGACAGCGTGGCAAACACAATCCACCTGCGAAGGGCCAGGGGCGCACGGGGCACGGGCTTGCACCGCCATCCAAGGCTGCCGCTGGGGTCCCACCAGGGAGGCCGGCACCACACACGCCAGCACGGCAGGCTGCCAGGACACCAGTCAATCCCTACTCCCGGGCGGGCTCCTGCGCCATACCGTCTTCTACCCCCCCCCCCCCAA